AGCCCACATACACACAAATACAATGCTTCAAAGCAACCACAGCACCCATTAATGAAACAAGCAGAATATGGCAAATACACACCTTCATTTAAAATAATAGGACCAGTCTTCAAGATTGTTTTGTGGCACAGTACTTCTAAAAGGTTGCCTACACCTCCTATAGACTGTAAGCTCGTTTGAGCAGGGTCCTCTCCAACCTATCGTTTCTGTAATTTTTCCTGTAATTGTCCTATTTATAGTTAAATCCCCCCTTGCCCCTTTATAATATTGTAAAGCGCTAGGGATTCTATTGGCACTATATAAATGGTAATAATAATAATAATATAAGTACGTTTAGTTGGAGTTACAAAGCAATTATCTCTCAGTGTTTCAGCATGGAGGTAGCCATTTGGAATTACATCACCATTTTCAAATCCTCAGTACTAGTTACTGATAAAAACAAGGCATTTTACTGTGAAAGAAAATCACAACACTATTTTTAGAAAAACTATTTAAAGCATGTGATGTGAGCAGCCGATCAGAATCTGGACTTTGTTAAGCAGGTGCTGAATTTACACTGTTCCATAAAAGAAGAAAATGTTCTTTGAACTCTGTAACAATACTGTTAGTCCGGGCAAAAGCGCTGTTTAGTGAGAAATATCTTTTTAAGTTTTTCGAAAAAAAAAAAAAAAACTTACAAAACGCTGATCTGATTATAAATGAATTGACACAAGGTATAGGCCAATTTTAAAGTGACAATGCTCTAAAAAAAATGACAGTGTTACAAATGTAAAAAAAAATTGCAACCATTTATCACTGCTTGGCATCCAAATTACCTAACTATTTGAGCAATTCTACATTTTGAGCCAATCTGCCCACAAATGGCATCTCAATAAAACACTGGTTCCACTATCTTGGCATCCATTTACACTGACTGCCAGCATGATGACTAATGTTTTGTGCTAATTTGCTATTCATTTTATATGGTGAGTCCTGCATGAAATAATTTTTTTTTAACGCTAAACATACCAAAGACATTCTCTTTGGCGTTATTATGTGGTCCTTACAGTTCCTGTACTATCATGAAATGTCTTTCCTTTTTAGAATCCAGTGCTATATAGAGCTCTGACACCTACAGGGTTATTCACAAATTTAAAGTGAATTCTAAGAGAATTTCAAATCTTAGGCCAAAGTAACAGAACTAGAACCTTAGCTTCATAGCTTTTAGTTTAGATGTATTGGTCCTAAATGTAAAATTCATTTTTAATTCACTTTAAATTATCACCTTGGTGAATAACTTTATTAAATAGTGGGACATTTAATTTCATCCCTCCCTTAAAACCTATCAGACACTTATTCACTATCCAAATCTACTTATAATTCTAATACCTCACTCACTACACAATGATTTAGGTGGGATTCGACTTGATAGTGCCTAGTGTGATGTCTTAGGAGCACCATAATGACCACACAGAGTCTGACCATTACTGGCAACTTAGCAGGGCTGAACGTTTGAGTTACCATTTTCTTTATTTAGTTTTACAAGCTCGGTTTCTTATGAAAAAAAAAAAAATATCCAATATCTCATATGTACTATAACTGTTGTTGTGAACTCCCTGCTGTTGATTGATGTTACCATGCAGGACATGTCGATCTTGCATTCACAATAAAAATTGTATTTCAAAAAATGAGTGCGACATTGCAAGGTTGTCAAAGACACAGCTGGAACCCCAACTGGACACCAGAAAAGACCCAGATCTGAATTTATTACTGTTTTATTGTTAGCCCCGAGCCTCCTGACAATCTGTAAGCAGAGGTGTTATTTTTCTGTCATTTGTAATATTGAGAGAGAAATAACACCTCAAATTGCAGATTTTCCAATAATACTTTCCACTGACCCTGTGAGTTATGTAACCACAAATCATCTAATTATTTAATGATTTAGCTAACAAGTGTCAGAGTGCTGAATAACAAACAAATATTAATTAGGAATATTTACTCAGGAGCTAAAGTCCCTGAGCTTTTGGCCACTTAGCAACTCCTGTGATGGTCCAGTAGGGTATCTAAAGATGGTATTGTAATGAAGGCATGGACCCTTAAAGGGTCACTATAACCCTATTGAGAGGGGGGGGACCTTTTGGCATAGTATGTCTTACTGGGCACTGTTTGGAAGGTCTCACCTCCAATTTGAAGTAAAACCTGAATTAAATAGGCTTTTCTCACCTTCATTCCAGCGGAAGGTGAAGCTCTTGGCGCTGCTCTTCGGCAGCCTTCTCACAAAATCTTTGGGGCAGTTCTATTAAACCAATTGCTGGCTCGAAGCAAATGCACATGCGTCAGCCAACAAGTGGTGGTGGAAGGCAGAGGAAGGAAGTGGGGAGGAGGGAGGTAGTTTCTTATTTTTTTTAAAGGCAAATGCAGAAGGAGAGAGGGTAATGTGGGAGGGGAGATAATTTATGCACAGAATTGATGTTAGGAAGCCCAAAACAGAGTTCTGGAATGCTAATGTTATGTGTGCTGGGGGTGCAACAAGACATCAGCACACAAGCAGAAACAATGCCCAAACTGACTCTTGACGCCATGGACACTTTAAATCATAAGTAGTTATGGTGGTTGGAGCAACCCTTTAACGGGTCTATTAGAAAATCATGATTTGCTTGTAATTTTTTTTAACATGGTATTACAACATTTTGTAAATGTACATGTATTAAATTGCACCATTAGTGGATGCTGGAGGGATGTAATAGTAAATCATAGATAGAGATGGCACATTCCTACCTAGAGCTAACACTAGTATGTGTTGTGATGATTAAATGCTGTTACTAGACTTTTACATTTCTTAGTCCTCTATAGAACATGTGCCGGGGTTATTTCCCCTTTGCAGTGTCTGCTTATAAATCTTGCTGTAAAGTGCGTCATTGGTTCAATAACCCCTGGAGAAGAAGTGGTTAAAATGCATTAGACGCGTCATTCTTATCCTGCAATCATTACACTGCTGTAAAAATGTGCTCCCATATCCGTACCACAAGCTTGCCAAGTAAAAAGATAGGGGCATAAACAAAGTATGGAATTCTGAGCAATCCGGAATGAGCTTATTCTGCTGCAGCTGAAATAAAACAGAGATTGTGTAACTTAACCCTTTTATTCCCAGACAGCTGGACAACATTGTCTTTCTATAAGACATCGAGTTACAATCACGTGTATAACAGTAATAACAACATTGTAGTAAAATCTAAGCACTCAGAAATCACATTTTATTTGCATCATCTGGTATTTGCTTATAATATAGTAATTTATGCGATTGAGGTTGTTTATGTGTTCTTTTATGTTTTTTAGTTTAGATTTTTAAATAAAAGTAAAAAAGCCAGTCATACAGTATCAACTTATATATATATTGTGTCACTGTTATAACTGTAGTTTTACGATAAGAGCATGATCACTACCAGCCGCAGTGGCGTACACATGACCCATGGGGCCCCGGTGGAAAATTGATCCGTTGCCCTCGTGACTGCGGTATGCACACACACTTAAAGGATCACTACAGACACCCAGATCACATCAGCTCAATGAAGTGGTCTGGGTGCCAGGTCCCTCTAGTTTTAACCCTGCAGCTGAAAACATGTTTCACTGAGGGTTAATCCAGCCTCTAGTGGCTGTCTCATTGACAGCTGCTAGAGGAGCTTCTGCGATTCTCACTGTGAAAATCACAATGAGAAGACACTGAACGTCCATAGGAAAGCATTGAGTAATGCTTTCCTATGGGCGGTTTAAATGCGCGCACGCGCGCCTCTTGCCGCGCATGTGCATTCGGAGCTGAGAGGCGGAGGGATCCCCAGCGCCAAGGGAGTCCGACGCTGGAGAAAGGTAAATGCTGAAGACACACACACACATTCTCACGAACAGACGCATACACACTAGCTAACAGACACACACATTTACTGACATACATACACACTCACTTACAAAGCATACACTTTCACTGACAAACAAACACTCACTAACAGACATCAAACACACTCAGTGACAGACATCAAACACACTCAGTAATAGACACACACAGTAACACACTCACTAGCAGACACACACCCAATAACAGACACACTCACTGACACACACACTAACACACACACACACACTAACACAAACAAACACAAACACACACTAACACACATACAGTAACACACACACTAAAACACACACACTAACACACATACACTAACATACACACACACTAACACACATACACTAACACACACACACACATTTTTTTTTTAAATTTAATCCCCCCAGCCTCCTTACCTTTTGGAGTGCTGGGGGGATTCCCTGGGGTCCAGTGGTGCTGCTGGGCGGGCTGGCTGTCTGGGTGGCCGGTGCGCGAGGGAGCACTCTCCCCTGAGTGCTTCCTCTTCAGCTCCCTTGCGCGCCGCATAGGGATGCCGGCGCCGGAAGATGACGTCATCTTCCGGCTCCGGCATCAGTGCGGTGCACGAGGGAGCACTCAGGGGAAGAGGCTGGCCCTGTGGGTACATACTGGGTCGCAGGGGCAGCCGGGCCCCCTGGTGGGCGTGGTTCGGTTGTAGCCGCGACCCCTGCGACCCTGGTATGTACGCCACTGACCAGCCGTAAAATGGAAACATGTCTCTGCTTCTGTACGCTTCTGTATGTCGAAGAACCCTGTACTTCAGCATCTTTCCTGTAAGGTTGTGCTGTTATTTATGACTGTCCAAAAATAAATAAATAAATTGTTATTAGTAAGTCACCTAAAATATGTCAGAACAGCCCTGCCCCTGGTCACACACCCACTCACACCCCTAAAATGAAAATGTCCCTCTTTGTTCATTTGAAATGTTGGGAGATATAAATATAAACTACTAATCATTCACGAAATCTAAATATATCATATATAATTATTCCTCAAGTCCAGGCGTTCCCAGTCCTCAAGAACCCCCTACCAGTCCAGGATTTAAGGATTACCGTTGTGTAGTGATGTCCCGAATGGTTCGCGAACGGTTCGCCACGGACTCATCATTCCAACCAATCAGCAGCAGACCCTCCCTCCCAGACCCTCCCACCTCCTGGACAGCTCACTAAGAATGCAGCTTCAAAATGGATGCTGTCCAAGAGGTGGGAGGGTCTGGGAGGGAGGGTCTGCTGCTGACTGGCTGGAATGATGAGTCCGTGGCGAACCGTTCGGCGAACCGTTCGTGGCGAACCGTTCGCGAACCGTTCGGGACATCACTACTGTTGTGTCTAAAGTGTTTTTTTGTTCTTTCTAAAAATGCCTTAGACACAAAGTGGGTAGTTCCTAAATCCTGGCCTGCTGGGGGGGACTGGGTTGGGAACCACTACTCTAGTCTGTAGAGTGAACTGTTAAGAATCACAGAAATCTCAGCCGCACAGGAGATTAATTTAATCTTAACAAAAATCCCATTATTCGCCAAATGAAAAGATGAAAACATTTCTTCTTTATTTCCTATTTTAAAACCTAGCCAACTATGCATGAGAGTGCCAATATAGAGGATAAGAATTATAAAGAATAAAGCCTCACTCATTTTGATCTACAGTGACCTTATTCATAGGACGTTAAGCATGGCACTTCAGAGGTAATCATAAAATTCACTTCCTGGAAAGTAGACGTAAAAACGAATCAATTGTTATTTTTGAGGAATTTGTGGTTGTTTCAATGTTTTGCCATATTGCAGCATTTCAGAGTAATCTGCAGTTTGCGCACGCATTGGAGAACTTCAGAGAGCATTTATTAGTTAAAAAGAAAAACAGAAGTTTAACACTGAAAAATCACTTTCATTTGTATTGGAAAAACAGCCACCACTTCTCTTTTCTTTGACTATATTTCACAATTACTGAGAATTATTAAAACGTAGAAATTTTGTTGACCAAAATATGGCATCAAAAATTTTTTTATCCCTGCAGTGACTCACAAGCAACAATGCCAAAAACGTCCACCTATAAACAGCCACAGTGAAAGGTGAAAAATAAATATAATAATAATAATAATAATAATAATAATAATAATAATAATTTGTTTTTAAAAAAAGAGTACAGCTTCCTAATGTCACCTCCCTGTTGGTAACCACTAACAAGAATATAGATATATACAAAATATGGGCTACAGCTGATACATTTAAAAATAAAATTAATAATACATAGTATAATATTGTCAAAAGATTAAAAAATAAACATTTATTGGTAGCACTCACAATAATGTGAAATATTTAATGGCCTTAATGGTGCCTCCCCTGATGGCAGTGGGGAGCAAAGCATCCTTTCTCCTTATAGTCATCACAATCCAGGAACCAGACTCAGGGATCCAGGGAAAAGGTAATAAATTGCTTTTATTATGGAAATAAAAGGTAAAATATGTAAAACAAATAAACAAATATAATACAACAACAACAAAAAAAACCAGCCTACGCATTTCGCTTTATAAATAGAACTTCCTCATGGACCATATAATCAAAACCAAATCATTAAATACTCAAATGCCAAAACGCAAAATGGAATGCCTCCCTCTTTTAATAGCTGAAGGGCTGAAAAGATTATTTGACTAAGTAATTCTATACAGATCAGACTTGGATATCAACAAAATGTAACTTGCATATGTCAAATATAATGGATTCAATGCTATCCTATGGGATGTTTGAATGTGCGTGCATGCGCATTAGGCAGCCAGTACTCCTCTATGAGGCACATTGGATTGGATAATGGCATCGGAGGTCATGCTTCCTCCGAGACGCCGCAGGAGGTGGAAGGGTAAGAAGCACTAAGGGAGCTTTGGAGCTGAATAAAAGGTAATTAAATTAAAAAAATTATTTTTATTTTATTTTAATGGACCAGGGGAGGGGGACCTGAAAGCAAGTAGGAACAGGGAATACAGACTAGTTTTTCTAATGCTTTAGTGTTCTTTTAAGGAGTTAAGAAAGAGCTGGGCATTTTCAGCTATCAACCCTTTGCCATCAAGAACAGGGAATACAGACTAGTTTTTCTAATGCTTTAGTGTTCTTTTAAGGAGTTAAGAAAGAGCTCTAGTGTTAAAACACTCCCCTGATCCCCCCTGCCCCCACCCCCTAAATATAGTAAAATCTTGCTTTTATTCCAGTCTGCTGCTGCTGCTGGCTCTGCCCCTGATCTGTCTGCTTGGCTGACATAATCAGAAGTGCTTATCTAAGCCAATCACAATGCTTTTACATAGAAAAGTACTGGATTGACTGAGACTGTCAAGGAGGCAAATTAGGAACAGAGCCCAATCAGCATCTCCTCTTAGAGATACATTGACTCAATACATCTCTATGAGGAAAGGTCAGTGTCTGCATGCAGGGGGTGGAGACACTGAATGCCAGTCACACTGTGCAGCACAGCTCCAGTCACACTGTGCAGCACAGCTCCAGGAAGAACCTCTAGTACCCATCTGAGGAGTGGCCAGTGGAGGTGTCCCCAGGCTGTAATTTAAACACTTCATTTTCGCTGAAAAAACTGTGTTTAAAAAGCCTGAAGGGAATGATTCTACTCACCAGAACAAATTCAATAAACTGTAGTTTTTCTGGTGACTATAGTGTACCTTAAATGTGAAATTTTATTTTAATTCTCACTTTAGTGAATAGCTGTGTTAGTGTATTAAGACACAAAAACACACAAATCTCTTTATTAAACACTTGTGGTTTCTTGACAACCAACACATCATGTTTACAATAAAATATTTGGACAATTTGTCATGTTAGCTAGTTTATTTACTCAATCATTAGTAAACTGCACAGTAATTGTCTCTATTACAAGCGCGTCAGATTCTCTGGGTTGTATTTCCATTTACAGAGTACTTGACACGGGTTGTGTATATTGTGCGGGTGTGTACCTTGTGTTATTGGATACCACATCCTTCTATAAATCACGCTAATTATACGGTGAAAGTTTGCAGCCTTCGCAAAGGGCACAGCGTGTATATACTGAGCTAGAAAGAGGAGACATCCTGTACTGCAATGAGACTGTAATCTACAGAGAGGAGGATTTCACAAATCAATGTCGCGTGGCAGAATCGATTCATTGCAGCATTCAGCTGGCAAACTCAATGACACTTTGCTCTTTTTCCCCCTTTACTTTTACTGCAGTGTTCAGCTTCATCAACTTGATCTTTCTCTGTGATTTCCTTGTAGCAGACCAGTTTCTTTAATATGTTCATGAATAACAGTACACTCTAAAAAAGATAAAAAGCTTAATATTATTCAGCAGTGGAATGATTTAAATTATAATGTATCTATATAGTATTGACAAGTGCTGTTGCTTTTATTGTTCTGTTTGCCCTGTTGAGATTGAATACTAAAATTATATTTAAAGGACCACTATAGGCACCCAGACCACTTCAGCTTAATGAAGTGGTCTGGGTGTCAGGTCCCTCTAGTTTTAACCCTGCAGCTGGAAACATAGCAGTTTCAGATAAACTTCTATGTTTACACTGAGGGTTAATCCAGCTTCTAGTGGCTGTCTCACTGACAGCCACTAGAGGCGCTTCCGCAATCCTCAATATGAAAATCACAGTGAGAAGACACTGGACGTCCATAGGAAAGCATTGAGTAATGCTTTCCTGTGGGCGGTTTGAATGCGCGTGTGGCTCTTGGCGCGGCTCTTATGCATTCAGATCTGATGTCGGCAGAGGGAGGAGATTTCCCCAGCACCGAGGGGGACTGACACTGTAGAAAGGTAAGAGGCTGAAGGGGATTAAACCCCTTCAGCCCAGCGGGAGGGGGGCTCTGCGGGGGAAGCGGGGGGCCTAATGAACCTATTGAGCCAGGAAAACGAGTTTGTTTTCCTGACACTGTATTGCTCCTTTAACTCTAAAAGGGTCCAATATATAATTATATAAGAAAAGAAAATGGGGAAAATCTCCTGAGGAGAGATCCCCATTGGGGTACAAAATGGTAAATAGGCGGTGACAAAAAAATACAACATTTAACAATTAAGGAGGAAGAGATTAATGAGGAAGAGATACTATATTAGATACCATATAGTGACGGTAGGATGACTATATATCTAATAGGTAAACCAACAGGCTATATTTATTTGCCTAAAATGTATTACCCAGAAACACTCATATGCGTCAATAAATGGCAGAATGGTACTAATGGTATTAGTGTGTTATGGCATAAAGTCTCTCAATTTCAAACCGATATTATATTAGTCCATTTTCAAATAAGCCATCAGGAAATCTGGTCTGAATCGACCTTAAATTAATGGGCTTCTATTGAACCAAAAAACGGAAAAGAATGGTAAAAGGGGAGAGATTCGCTAAGGTGTTGACTTGTCGAAGTGTAAGGTAAGAGGTTGATATTATAAAGGATATTATATTATATTAAAGGCATATGGCTCTAAGGCAAAACCTAAGCAATACGAGGTAATCAGGCAGTCACCCAATTCAAGCGGGTGGATATCTTGAATGTAACTATAGTGGTCTAGTTAATAGAGTGCCATATAAACTTATATAAACTGAAGGTATCTAGAGCATTTTGTCACAAAGAGCTCTGGATGCTATTAGCTTGATGGCTGGCAGATCAGCTCTGCTGTCCCTAAGGCTCCTAAGTCCTGCTAAAGTGCTCTCAGATGGGAAAAATATCCGGTTTTGTTTATAAACAGCACAATTTAAATTTAAGGTAAAAGTTGTTGTGCATGTGGTATTGTATGGGTTTGGAGGCTGCTTGTGGGATTTCATTTGTGTAGAGCAGGCTGTTTGTGGCGTAGTGTGGGGTCTGTTTGTGATGTACTGTATGTGGTTAGGAGCTGTTGTGTATGTTTCCAGATTGTAAAGTGTGTGTGCACATGTATAATGGCTGTAGAAATTGTGTGTGTGCACAGGGGAAGTGACCTAACAAGGGGGGGTGGAGGGAGAAACCACAAAGGGGGAGGGACACAAAGAGACACAGGGGAGGGGGTGGTATTTATTTTAGTGTCTGTGTATGAGGGTAGTGCATGTATAGTGTTATGGTGTGTGTAGTGTAGTGTCTGTGTATGAGGGTAGAGCGTGTATAGTGTTTTGGTGTGTGTATTGTAGTGTCTGTGTATGAGGGTAGTGCGTGTATAGTGTTATGGTGTGTGTATTGTAGTGTCTGTGTATGAGGGTAGTGCGTGTATAGTGTTATGGTGTGTGCGTGTATTGTAGTGTCTGTGTATGAG